ATTATTTAACTGTTTTTTAAACTTTTATAAATATAAGTTAATTAAATTTAATCAATTTTGTTAATCAGACATTAATTGAAAAAATAAATTAATTTAAGTCACATTAAATTTGTAAACGAATAAAATAAACTTTTATTACGAACTGTAAATATAATGGTTAATTATAATTAAACTATAGTACAAAATTTTTTAGTTTTAAATAATGCATTTTTTTATTAATTTTTTTTCGGTCTTTCTCGTTTTTTTGGTTGATTATTTTCTGTTGGTTGTAAATTTTTGGAGCATTTTTTTTCTTTTTCTCTGTACCTATAAATGTTTGGCATTTATGTTTGACGTTTAGTAAATAAACACTTAACCATCGATAAATGGTGCATCAGCGAAAAAAGTGACTACACCAATTTTCGAGTCATTACCTCGAAAAATGGAACTGTCAAAAAAAAGGAACCAAATACCGATGATTTGCTTTTAAAAAATATTAAATATTTTTTTTTAACAAAAAAACATGCATACAAAATTAATTTAGTTCGTGTACAAAATTATAATAATAATTTTGTACACAAAAAGTCATTATAAATACGTTTAATTTGCATTTCTAAAAATCTGTTTTAATCAACCTGAAGTATTAAGAAAATGGAGATTCGTGTAAATTTCACAGCAGTGAATTATAATATTAATTAAATAATTATTTTAGTAGAATCGCTACGAAATTTGCATATATAAATATACAGTTGAAAATACAAAGATTATTTAGAAATTTTTTTTGTTCTTAAATATTATATATTATACTATTTATCTAAAAAAGAAAATTATTATCCTCGACAATTGGAGCACCCTCGGCAATTGGTGCAGTTACCCTAAGTGAATTTTTTAAATTTTGATTTTAAAAATATAATTTAATCTTTTTAAATTATTTACCGGAATTTAATTATCTTCAAAAGCATTCTAATTACAATTTTTCAAAAGACGAATTTTTTTTCCAAATAATTTTCAAATTAAATTACATTCAAAACTTGACTAATTTTTTTTGTTTAATTAAAGGTGTAAGGTTATAGTTTCTTTGACTAATTGACTAATTTTTTTAAAATAAATATTTAAATACATATTTATTTTTTCACAGGAATTAAAATATTTTAAATAATTTGAATATAAAACTGAAACACACTTTTTGAAATTTAATTATTTCTTAAAATTAAAACTTGACTCTAGTAGCTGTTTTATAAATTAATAATACAAAAGTCCTTTTTTTCAAACATAAGCTTAAAAATAAATTAAAACCCTTCTGATTTGTCTTCTTTTTTTTGTAATCTAATTTTAACCATGTGAATAAAATTATACTTTCAGTCTAAAAAATAAAAAAAGAAACATAAAATCGTAAATTGTACTTTATGACACTAATTTCTTCTCTCCATCTCTTTCTCCACATGTATTTATAATTCATTTGAAGAAAAAATTGAATATGCTCCACTCCATAAAAATGAAAAAATGAAATAGCGCCTACGTTCCGCAAAATGGAAAATACGTTCAACAGTAGCAATTCTTTTCGGTTGGCAGTTGACAATATAATGTAAATTGAATAGTACCTCATAATTGTGAATTATGAATTTTAGTAGCGTCCGTTAAACTTGTAGGTTATTGAGTCATAAAATAGTCTCTTTTTTTTAAATACTCATATACACGCACCAGGACAAGACAAAAGTGCACCGGTTTTGCCAAGAGAGAGAGAGAGAGAAAACGCGAACGAACCCAACAGCGAATAAGAAAATTTTTCAATACCTTTACATTATAGATATTTATATATGTATTTACAATCGTTGTTGGGAAAAAAAACAACTTTCGATTTACGAGAAATGATCCGAGATTTTCGATATTTTATAAAGAGCTCATCATAAATTCAGAAAAAAGGGAAATGAAAGAAAATTGTTTTTATTAAATTGTCTTTTTTTTGTTAGTCTGAGAATTATTTACGTTTACGCGAATCGAATATAGAAATTATTACCATACAGCATTTATAAGAGAATTTAAAAAAATAATATAAAATAATTTTATTGAAATTCTTTAAAATAATACATTTTTGAAAATAAAATGACTGTAGTCCAATGGGTTAGAAATTTGCTTAATTAATTTTTCGGATTACTGAATAAAAATTAAAAATTAAATAAAAACACATTAAAAAACAATTTGATTGAGATTTAAGAAAATAATTGTTTGAGTAATTAATAATCGAGTAAGTATTTACTTAAAACAATAATATTTACTTGATTTAAATAATTTTTATTCAAATGAAATAAATTGTATTCGAACCAATAATTTTGGTAGTTAAAGCAAATACCGTTAAATTGATTTAAACGAAAATTATTTGCTTCTAAATATTTATTTATCAATATAGGAGAAGTAATCGGTTATTTTAATGAAATAAATTTTGTTTATAGTAAAATTTTCGCAGGTGTAAATTTTACTGTTCCTGGTAAAGATTTTTTTCCGCATTAGATTTAAAAGAAAAAAAATTCTACTGTCTTTTTGGTTATAATAAATATCAGGTCCGTTTGCCTCCCACGCGGAATCTGGCACGAGAATATTGTTGAAAGTTGGTCGCCTTTATAGAGTGTATATGGTTGCCTCGCTCCTGTTGGTCTGAGGATTGTAACGCGAAACCATTCCTCTCGACCTGCCTTGCCTTCTGTGAGGTCTTCTCTACTTTGGTGTCTTGCAACCAAGCGCCAATCAGCTATTTCCTTGGACTTTGTGTTAATCTACTATCAAGTCATTGACCTTCGACTACATTTACGATTTTAAAAAAAATCCACTCAATTAAATAATAATTTTTACAAGTAAAAGAAAAATAATATTAAATTGTTCGCTCACAAAATAATAAACACTGCAGATTTTAGTTAGTTACCTAAATTTAATATTCAAAAATATACCAACAGCACAAAGGTTTCACCCTATTTTTAGAATTTTTAGAATTTACAAGAACATTCTGAATTTTGGTGTTTTTTGTTTAATAAAATTCTTGGAAAAATTTCAAAAATTTCCCTCATTTCAATTATTTCTATAATATCTACTATTTTAATAAAATTTTACAAAAGAATTTTATTATTTAAACAAAATTTTAATAAAAATTTCACAGGAATTCAAATACATAACAATTTTTTATATTTCTTCGCAACAATTCAATAATTTATAATTTTTTAATGAAGTTTCTCCAAAGAATTCAAATATATTCAGACAATTGAAAAAAATTTAAAATAGTTCTAAGAAATTCAATTATTTCGAAAAATTTAAATAAAATTCTTTTAAAAATTCTATTATTTAAACAAATGTTGACAAAATTCTTTACAAAATTTAGTTAACAAACTTGCAATTTTTATAAAATTTTCCTATACAATTTAATAATTTTCAATACAATTCTTCTTGAGAATTCAATTATTTTTACAAATAATACATTTTCTTGTGGGAATTCAATTATTTAAAAAAAATTTAAATAAAATTCTTAGCTAGAAATCAATTATTTTTATAAATAATAAATCTTTTTTTGAGAATTCAATTACTTAAAAAAAATTTTCATAAAATGCGTTATAAATTTGAAAAATTATATTAAAATTGGTTGTAAAATAAAATTATTTTCGTAAAATGTAACATTCTTCCTAGGAATACAATTACTGGCAAAAATGTTTGTAAGAATCTCCGAAAGAATTCAATTTTCGTAAAAAATAAAATTCTTCAAAGCAATTCAATTATTTAAGAGATTTTAATAAAATTCTTCTCAAGAATTCAATTCTTTTCAAAAATAAACATTTTCACAGGAATTTAATTATTTAGAAAGAATTTTTTTTTAATTCTTTGTCAGATTTCAATTTATTATTTTAAAATTTTTAATAAAATTTCTTGACGAAATTTAATTATTTTAAAAAAAGTTAAAAAACAATTTTGAGAAATTCAATTACTTAAAAAAATTTAAATAAAATTCTTTTAAAAGTTCAATTATTTAAAAAAATTTGACAAAATTTTTTACAAAATTTAAGTAATAAACTTGCAATTTCGATAAAATTTTTCTATACAATTCAATTATTTTCTCAAATAATACATTTTTTTACGGGAATTCAATTATTTAAAAAAAATGTTAATAAAATTCTTTGATAAAAATCAGTTATTTTTATAAATGATAAATTTTTCCTTGAGAATTCAATTATTTAAAAAAATTTTGATAAAATGCTTTATAAATTTAAAAAATTATATTAAAATTGGTAGTAAAATAAAAATATTTTCGTGAAAAATAAAATTCTTCAAAGCAATTCAATTATTTAAGAAATTTTAATAAAATTTTTCCCAAGAATTCAATTATTTTCGTAAAAAATAAAATTCTTCAAAGCAATTCAATTATTTAACAAATTTTAATAAAATTCTTCCCAAGAATTCAATTTCTTTTTAAAAAAAAAACATTTTCACAGGAATTCAATTATTTAAAAAGGAATTTTTTTCAATTCTTTATCAGATTTCAATTTTTTCAAAGAAATTTCTGGATAAAATTTAATTATTTTTAAAAAGTTTTTAAAAATTCTGAGAAATTCAATTATTTAAAAAAATTTGAATAAAATTCTTCATAAGAAATTAATTATTTTCATGAATCATAAAATTTTTCTCCAGAATTCAATTATTTTTACAAAGAAAATTCTTTACAGGACTTGAATTCTTTAAAAAAATGTTTAATAAAATTCGTTGCAAGAATTCAATTATTTTCATAAATATTAAAATGTTTCGTAGGATTTCAATTATTTTTTATACTATTTTAAATATAATGATAGAAAATTGCATTTATTCGTAAATTTTTTTTTAAAATTCACCGAAAGAATTCAATTATTTTTTAAAATTTTGATAAAATTCCTATAGAAAAATAATAATGATTAAATATTTATTTAAAAAAGAAATTTTGTCTGGAAATCAGGGAAAAGTCAGGGAAAAACAAAATTAGTTTTGTGGCAACCCTGATAATGATTACTGCACGCAACATTATGTTTATTATTTATCATTCATTTTATTATTACATTACATTTTGTGGAGTGACGTTTTGCTACTTGTAACTTTACAAATTTACAAATTTACAAATTTACAAAATTTACAAACAAATTTACAAATTATGTTAAGTGGGTACAAGACACAATTTTTTTCTTTGCGCTTTATTACGAACCGTTTCATGAAATTTAGGAGGAGTTTTATTTTCACTTAAAATTAAAGGATTTTCTGTTGACGCATACTCAACATTTACCCTCATTTCTTCAGTATCAACAAATCCTAATTTTTTGCATTGCAAAAAAATTGTATTGCTTTTAACAATCGAAAAGATTTTGTTAGACAAATCAGTACCATTGAAGGTAATTTTCGGTATTTTTGAGTAAAGATCTTTTAAATTTTTAAATACTCGAATATTATTATAACTTATTAAATTCATCAAGGATAAATTATCTATCCAATCCATCGTATCTGTCAAATATGTCGTAATACTTAATTTTTTATCCATATCAATAATTCTAGTTACATTGCGAACGTAATCAGATTCTTGATCAATAACTTCGAGCATGTCGTCAATGTAATTAAATTTTAAAAAGCAAACGAATTTAAGAAATTTAAAAATTTCTTTTTTATTACAAAGAATTTTCAAATAATTATTGTTTGTGTCATTTGTTAATTTTATGTTTTCATAAGTAGATTTTACTAAATTGGAAAATTTAAGAACATCGCTATATTCAGTCATTTGAAAATCAATATCGGTTCTTTTATTTAATTTCAACGACGATGAGCACTTCGAACTTTTAAATATATATTTTATGCCAAAAGAAATATATTGTTGTTTCAAAAAGTTACGAAATTCCTGAAAATATGTAATGTTACAATTGCTTCTAGAATGTTGATCGTAATTATTCACAGATTGTGTCAAATCATTGTTAACGGAAGTATATGTAGAAAAATATTTTGGAAAGCGGTTAAAAAAATCTTGATGAACTTTAATTAAATATGCGGGATTTATAAAGCGCGTCTGTATGTTTCCTGAGGAAATGTCACGATAATCGAGTAGCGCATGAATTAACGAATCATAGTCATCAAAACAACTTGATTCATTAAGAAAAAAATAATTCGTAGAGTTTACAAAATAAAAAAAAACATTTGAATAATCTTTAATCATTTTGTATTCGAAATAGCCAATTAATGGGTTTTCTTGTCTGTTGATAGTGGTTGGGTAGACGTAATAATGAGTATCATTGGATTGAACCAAATAAATATTTTTCATAATCACATCGTACAGGAACTGTTCGGAATAATGAAGATCTTCTCGCCTTACTTTTGGTACTACTCTACTAGTTGTTATTTTGTTAACAGTTGTAATCCCTTGTTTCATGTCATCTACGACGATTATCACTAATCTCTTAAATTTCACATCAAAAAGTAGATCATCGATTGTTTTCCAATGTTCGTAAATAGTACAGATTGTACTGTCCATAGGTATGTAGTTGTTATTATTGTTTACACTCTGTAAACAACAAATATTTGTAAATACAACTTACGTTAGAGTATTTTTTACAATAAGATTTTAAAAATTCAAAATAGCGGATCCAATATGAAAAACATGAAAATTTAAACCTCAGTATGAAACATGATCCGACATTTTGAATTTTTGCTAATTTCTTTCGGAAACTTGACGTGATGGGAAGTTTCGACTCCGAATTCGTATTCAGCAATAAAAAATTTATTCGCTGAAAAAAATTTGTTTTAATTTGTGAAATAAAGATTAAAACTTACCAAAGAATGCTTAACAATATTATAGATAATATTCATTACATTTCTGCAATTGTCTCCTAAATGTAGCATTTTCCGTTTAAGATCATCAAGTGAGGAAAAAATGTAATCGTTTCTTAAGGAATATTCGTTATTATACAAAAATATTACGCTGTTAAACCAATGTAGTTTGCTTATCAATGATTCTGCAACACGTTTTTTTAGGACTTGTATCCACTCTGTTATTTTGTAAGGCATAATACCTGATATTCCATTCACAAAACAAAATAATTTAAATATGTCTATTTTGTGTTCATTTTCACAAAAATCGACAAATGAAATATCATTTTTTTTCAATGAAGATACAGTGTTATTTATCCAATTCAAATAATCAATCATAACCATAACATCTTTTAAATCGCTACCATATCCTAAAAGTTCTGTCACTTCCAGATGTCTTGATTGAAAGCAAATTAAGTTTCTTTTAACAGTTCTTCTTTTTTTATTTTTTTCTAATCTCTTGCTATTGCTTTTAATTTGGTTTAGTAATGAGTTAAAACGCATTAAAGAACTCGCACTTTGAGAATTAACGTTGAATCCCATCCAAGTACAAATGTTGTCAAAATTATTTAATGCTTGAAAAGATAAGTTTTTTGTTTCTTTTTCTCTGAATAATTGTTTACGTAACTCGAATAATTCCGAGAAGCTTTCACCTTTTTGTAGCTTTTCGCCTATATATCTTGCAAGAGTGCAATTGGTGCAGCTTGGTTCCAATGGAATTAAAATATCTTCAAAGAATGGAAACTGTTTTTTTACATTAACAAAATCGAAGGTAATTCCTGAATTGTCACTTAATAGTTTTCTTTGAGAATATACGGTCAAAAAATGGTATTGAATGTTTACTGGATAAACGAAATAATAGGTATCGTTGGCTTGGTATAGATGGATATTTTTCAATGCTTTATGTAACTGACTGTAATAAGGGTTGTGCTTGATTCTATTATCATTTAATATTCTTTTTCTCTCACTGAAATTTGTAACTCTGTTTATACCATCACTTATCTTATCTGCTATAATTATTACCAACGGTTTGTAATTTTTTCTAAAAAGCACAGAATCAATAACTTTAGAGTTATCATAAAGGGAACAGATATTATCTTCAAACGTGAGAGGTTTGACATTCGTTTCTTTTACCTGTAAAATATTCGTTCATATTGTATTCATTTTCAAATTTTTAAGATGTATCCTTAGAGAAAAAACATCGACTCCTTTTTACATATTTTTTTTATAATATGTAACGTTAAGGAGTCACTTTTTCTAAAAAATATTTTTTAACATTTCTTTTTTCTAAAAAATTGCATTTACACAATGTTTTAAAAACTACTAATAAAATTTTTTTTTTATTGAAAATCAAACGATAAGCAAGATATGTGAAAAAAAATGAAATTTCGGAAATCGTGTAAATTTATTCCAAATTATCATTGCGGATTCGCATTTCGGACCTGCAAACCGTAAAGTACGTCAAATTGCAATTTTGAACTCTATTTTTAAATCGGTGAAAAAAATATGAATTCATGATATTTTTAAAATTTCTTTTGGAATATCAAAATTGATTAAGAAAGCAACTCAGAAAAAACTTGTAACTTAAATTATCCATAAAAATATTTCATTTGTTCATTTTTTTGAAAAAAGATAAATATTAACTTTTCACGATTTCCTGATAAATATTTTTTTGTAAATTTAATTTTTAAAGAATTATTAAAATTTCAACAAATTTTTTTATTGCTTTATTATTTTTCTACTTTAAATATATAATATACAATTTTTTATTATAAAGTTTTATTTTTTATTTATAAAGTTTTATTTTTCTTATTTTTTTCTTAAATTTATTATTCATTTACAACAGAAAATTCAATTAAATTTCTGTTTTAGAATACTTTGGGAAATCCCAATTGGGCCAAGTTGGGTCAACCCAAACTCTGCTAAAGTACATTAAAGAAAAAATTTTTTTTGAGCTTTATACAGTTGCACCTTTTTTTTTGTCTAGCATATTATTTAAATAATAACTTACTTAAGTAAATTTTTTTATTTATTAATTTCTCGAACTTTGGTAAGCTCAGTTAGACCCACATTGGCGCTCAATTTATTATAAAATATAATAATAATAATCATAATAAATTAACAACAACAATAAAATTTTTTCTTTTTAAACTTACATTTCTTTCTCCATGAATTGAAATTTGTCCAGCCATCAATAAAAAAATCAAAGTAAGCGTTATCGAAAATGTACTTTGAGAATGCATTTTTGGTTTTTTCATGAATATACTTTCTTTCAACACTTGCACTGATATAGCATTGAAATCGAAAAATGCATGTTTACATACGTAAAAAATCATAAAATATAATCAATTTTTTTAACAACTTTAAGTTTATCACATTTTTACTTTTTATCTTTTAAACTGGTTTTGCGCATTACAAAAATTGACGATTTATTAAATTTCAAAAAAAATTGTATTTTCTTTTAAAGATAAATAGATTTTCTTTGACAAATATTTTTTAAAATTCTCTAATTGAGACAATTATATAGCATCAAAATTATTGCCATGATTTATTTCCTTTCTTTTTTGTCTGAATTTGATATTCTTTGAAAAATATTTGGGTAACTATCTATTAATAGGTTGCTGAATGATTGCTACAAACTTGATGCAATCTTGGTACAAACTTGTAGCAAACATACTAAAATTCTTCAAAAATATTTCATAAAAAAATTTATTTTTCATTTCTTATTTTTTAATTTTTAAGATCTTTTAACGACTATTTTTTAATACCCATTCTTTAAATATAATGATTACTTTACACAAAACTATATTTATTATTTATCATTTATTATTATTACAATACATTCTGTTGAGCTGGGAGGACATTTAACTACTTGCAACAAATTTACAAAGCTTACATGTTAACTGGGTACAAGACACAATTTTTTTCTTTGTGCTTTATAAAGAACTAGCAACATATACCTCACTCGCTAACGCTCGTTCGGTTGTATTTAAACTTATTAGTTTTTACTTATTTTTTTTTTTTATTTGAACTAAGTAAATATTTACTGGACATAAATATTTTAATTTATGGTATCTATTAAATAGTTATTTGAACCAAATACAAATTACTTAAGTCAATTAAATAGAATAATTTAATTTAATAAATATTGCTTTAAATCAATTATAAAAATTACTTGATTAAATAATGCATAGTTTTTAATTAAAATAAATATTTATTTGCATCAATAAAATAATTTTTTTGAAATAACTAAACTTAGAAGGTTAGATTTTGAATGTTAGCCTGATTCTCTGAATAATTAGTAAGAAAAGGGCGAAGATACGTCCATTCTTTTCTTACTAATAGGATTTTCTGTAGGTAATGATCAGGGTGTTTTTTTGAAATTTTTACTGCACTATTCTTACGCATGTCACCGTCACCAATATTGTTACAATATATATTGTAACAATATTGTTACAACAAAGTCTAGACTTTGGGTTTTTGCAAGTCTAGACAATATAGTTGTATAATAATATAAATTTTTCTTTCTAAACCAGAATTTGAACATTTACAAAATTAAAACCTTATAGTGGTTAGAAAATGTAAAAAATTATTAATATTTATAAAAATATAAATTATTTTATTTAAAATCATTGTGTAATAAGACAAAAATTATGAAGTGACATTTACAAAAAATGTCATTGTACATTATACGAAATGTTATTTTTACGTATTCTCTTACTAAACCTTTCATTTTCGTCCGCTATCCTGGATTCGCCATTTTGTATTTTTAAAAAGTGACTTTGGATTCATAATCAGTGGAATTTTACTGAAAATCAGTTGAAAAGTACTAAAATATCAGTCATTCTTCACTGATTATTATTTTATTGTGATTTATTTATTAATATTGTAAATTTCTGTCAAACAAATAATTTTACTAAAAGTCAGTTGAAAATTACACTTACAGTAGTGTTTCATTCGAGCAACACGATCCGAGAAACGAACAAAAAACGATTTTCTTTTTGTTTTGATAACCAAGCTGTCATGTTCGCTCGTCTTATTGAAGTAAATTTTCATAAATGTTTATTTACATTATTCGAAGATAATTAAATCTTAAAAAATTACTATAAAAAAATTCTAATAATATTAGTTTTTAAAAATATTATAATGTTATTTTTCGAAAATAATTGAATTTCTTAAAATAATTCTTATATCCTAATTTACCTTTAAAAATTTTTTTTTAATTTTTGGTAATTCAATTATTTTCAAAATTTGCAATTAAAATTCTTCAAAAAATTGTAACAAAATACTTGAAATAAATTAATTATTTTCAATTAAATTTTGCACAATTTCAACTATTCAAAAAGGTTTCTATTGTAGACATATTTGAAAAATTTAATTGTGTTAAAAAATTATTCAAAGAAATCTAAGTATACTTATTTTTAATTATCTATAACTTAATCTATTGAATTTAGAAAAATTACATCAAGAGGACAAAACTTTGTTCTTTCGTCTACTTTTGAATAATGTTTAGAAAACTAAATTTTTATTAATGTTTATTAAAAAATTATTTTATACCTAAAAATGTTAAATTTTTTTAATTTAGGCATGATTACAATCACAGGCACACAAAAAAAAAGTTGTCTGTTCATTGAACAAGACCTACATGTCTTATAGTATTTTGGCCCCCTGAATACGAATATGAAGTCAGAATTGCTCCAGCACCCTCTGTTTTTTTTAAATCAAAAAAACTACCCTTAAGTCTAAAATTCAAGAATTAAAGTAAAAAAAAATAAAAACACGGCTTTCTTCGGATTATTTTTAGTTGTCAGTTATGGGAAAGTCGAGAAGCAGTCGAGAAGTTCGGTCGATGACAATTAGAAAATTAGACGATACGATTTGACAATTAACAAAAGAATAAACAAGATGATCGTTTGAAAACCAAAGACGATAACCAAATAATCGCTCGAAAAAATGAAATTCGCGGATCGAAGTGAAACACTAACTTACAGAAATATAAGTCATTTTTCACTGATTATCCATTTAAAAAATTATTGTTGATGTCTGCCAAACAAATACAGGGTTGCCACGGACCTGGAAAACCTGGGAAACCCGGAATTGTCATGGAATTTTTTTTCAGTCATGGAAAACCTGAAAAATCTGGAATTGTCAGGGAATTTTATGAAGCCTGATACTAAAAGCTCAATTTTTTGTATTTGAGTCGTAAAAATTTCAAGTTTTCAAGTTGACATACAACTTTTTGATTTTAAATTTAGTGCTTACAATTGAAATCAATATGGCATTTCTAAATTTTAGTTTCTTTTGGTCTCTATCTTCCTTTCAATAATTTTTAAATTAATACATTTTAGAAACCCCAAAATGTTATGAAACTGAAGCTACCAACTTTTATGCAATGAAAATTTTTTCTTTTGCTAATTGTTTTTTAATGTAAGAAGCCCTTTAAAAAATTGCAATCGAAAAAAATTGCTTCTGAAGCAAGGAAATAATAATTTAGTTAAAATTTCGGGATATTTGGATAATCTACGAAAAAATATTTAAAAATCACTAATTTCCTTGCCTTCCTTAGATCCTCTTACAATTTTTTTAAATGACTTGTCACATTAAAATAAATAATTTGTAAAAGAAAAAATTGCTTATGAGGTGAGGAAATAATAATTTTGTTTAAATAATATATGGATTTTTCGAAAATCTGTGTAAAAAATCAAAATTAATAATTTCCCCGACTTCGATCTTTTAAAATTTTTTAAAAGGCTTCTAACATTAAAATAAATAATTAGCAAAGAAAAAATTGTCATTGAATAAACGTAGGTAACTTCAGTTTCATAAAATGTTATTAAAATGCTTTTTAAAATACTGGTTTAATAATTGTGAAAAATTCTAAACTTAACTAAATTTTTAAATTTAAAAAGATTTGCTCCTCATCTTTCTTCGGAGCGTATCTCAAATAACCTTACAAATTTTAACTTAATTTTTTGTTAATAATGAAATTAAAAATTAATAACTTATTTTGTTAACAATTTACTTAAAGGATTTTATACTTTTTGTCGTAATTAGCTAAAAACATACCAAAACAATTTTATTTCTGGTTTGGAATTTTTTAAGAAATGGTCTGGAAAACCTGGAAAAGTCATGGAATTTTAAAATCGATGTCTTGTGGCAACCCTGAAATAAATAAGTAAATACACAAGTAAATAAATAAGTTCCATTACAACACAGACAGCGCAGCATTAGCGAGTGAGGTATTTACGTATATTTAAAAAAATTTCAACAGACACTACGTGCATCAACGAACCTTAAAAAATTCAACAATTTATATTATCAATCGTTTATTAAATCTATACATATATGTGATTTGTGTATATGTAGGAGTTTATATCTGCATATGAGCAGTATACATGTGTATGTAATTTATGAACATGTGTGAGTATACATGTACATGTGATTAGTGTATATGTGTGAGTATACATGTGTGGGTGTTATGCGCGCATGCTTGATATTCATAGAACACTACTGCGCATGCCTGATATTCATAGAACACTACTGCGCATTCCTCACATTGATAGAACACTACTGCGCATGCCTGACATTCATAGAACAATAGTGCGCATGCCTGACATTGATAGAACACTACTGCGCATGCCTGATATTCATAGAACACTACTGCGCATGCCTGATATTTAAAGAACACTACTGCGCATGCGTAATATTGACAGAACACTACTGCGCATGCGTAATATTGACAGAACACTACTGCGCATGCCTAATATTGACAGAACACTACTGCGCATGTGTAATATTGACAGAACACTACTGCGCATGCGTGGCACTAATAGAACACTACTGCGCATGTGTAATATTGTCAGAACACTACTGCGCATGTGTAATATTGACAGAACACTACTGCGCATGCGTAAAAGTGATAAAACACTACTGCGCATGTGTAATATTGACAGAACACTACTGCGCATGCGTAACAGTGATAGAACACTACTGCGCATGCGTAACATTGACAGAACACTACTGCGCATGCGTAACATTGACAGAACACTACTGCGCATGCGTAACATTGACAGAACACTACTGCGCATGCGTAACATTGACAGAACACTACTGCGCATGCGTAACATTGACAGAACACTACTGCGCATGCGTAACATTGACAGAACACTACTGCGCATGCGTGACATTGTGAATATGTATACATTTGTGTTAATATTATTTTTAAAAGATATACATATATATACGGCTAGGGTCGGTCGGTCGGTCGGTCGGTCGGTCGGTCGTTCTTCAACTTAATATAATAAAAAATGATTTCTTCTTGAAGTTTAGAGGTAGTTTTATTTTTACTTAATTCTAAATAGTTTTCTGTTGACGTATTATTAACATTTGGGGTAATTTCTTTAGTATCAAGAAATCCTAACTTCTTACATTGCGAAAAAATTGTATCATTTCTAACAATCGAATAGATTTTGTTAAACAAATCAGCACCATTTAAGGTAATTTTTGGTATTTGAGAGTAAAAAGCATCTGATTCTTCAAACATTCGAGTTTCATTATACTCATAATCAATATAATTTATTGATAGTAATTTCTCTATCAAAAGTTTTGATTTCAACAAATAATTAGTAATAGCATTTTTCTCATTTTCAACAGTACTTGTTATATAGCTACTTACATATGGTACCTGATGAATAACTTTAAGCATGCCTTCAATATAATTTATTTTTAAAAAGCAAACGAATTTAAGAAATTTAAAAATTTCTTTATTACTACAAAGAGATTCTAAATTAGTATCGTCTCTGTTATTTATTGTCATTATTTTTCTATAAGCAAACTTTACTAATTCATGAAAATCAAGAACATCACTAAATTGAGTCATACGAAAATCAATATCGGTTATATTATTTAATTTCTGCGACGATGAGCACGGCAAACCTTTAAATAAATCATTTAATAGGTAAAAAGGAATTTTTAGTTGTTTCAAAAAGTTACGAAATTCCTGAAAGTATGTAATGTTACCATGGCTTCTATAATGTTGATCGTAATTATTCACAAATTCTGTAAAATCATTGTAAACGGAAGCATATATAGGAAAATATTCTGGAAAGCGGATAAAAAAATCTTGATGAACTTTAATTAAATGTGAGGGATTTATAAAGCGCGTCTGTATGTTTCCTGAGGAAATGTCACGATAATCGAGTAGCGCATGAATTAACGAATCATAGTCATCAAAACAACTTGATTCATTACGAGAAAAATAATTCCTAGAGTTTACAAAATAAAAAAAAACATTTGAATAATTTTTAATCATTTTGTATTCGAAATAGCCAATCAGTGGGTTTTCTTGTCTGTCGTCGTTCGTTGGGTAGACATAATAATGAGTATCATTGGATTGAACCAAATAAATATGTTTCATTATGAAATCGTACAAAAACTGTTCTGAATAATGAAGATCTTCTCGTTTTACTTTCGGTTCTACTCTGCTAGCTCTTATTTGATTAGCAATTTTGATCCCTTGTTTCATGTCATCTACCACGATTATCACTAATCTCTTGAATTCCACCTCAAAGAGTAGATCATCGATTGTTTTCCAATGTTCGTAAACAGTACAGATTGTATTATACTTAGCTCTATAGTCGTAATTAGAATATACAAGCTGTAAATAATGTTTAGAATTAAAATTTACATTAGAGTATTTTTTATAGTTCTCTTATTACAATTGTATAACATCACACGTAGAAATAAAACAATAAGCACAGCGTTAAGAAAGTTTTTAAATTCTATTATACAGTTAATAAGAAATTTTCAAATTATTAAATAAGGAACAGTGGGGAATCAAAAGTGATCACTGAGTTCAGAATCAAACATTTAGGGCACATTTATAGAGCAAAATACAAAATGTTTAGATCGAAATAAAAAATATTTGAACTTAGTAAATGTTTATCAAATAGTTTGCATTTATTTGAATTAAATAAATTTTGTTTTCAGTGCACAGTTTTTACTACTTTGCCATTTGTTATTTCCCTATACTGATGCATGAAATGTTTTAATTTTGTGAAATACAATTTAAAACTTACCAGAGAATTCTTAACAACTAAATAGGATAATTGCATTACATTATGCCAATGTTCGCTTTCATTTTGTATTTCCCGTTCAAAATCATCACGTGAAGAAAAAATTAAATCGTCTCTTAACGAATATTCGTTATTATACAAAAATTTCACTCTATTAAACCAATCTAATTTGTCATTCAATGATTTTGCAAAATGTTCTTTTAAGACTTCTATCCACTCTGTTATGTTGTGAGATGTAACATCTGATATTTCTTTCATAAAACAAAATAATTTAAATATATCTATTTTGTGTTCATTCTCACAAAGACCGCCAAATAAAATATCATTGTTTTTCAATGAAGATATAGTGTTATTGATCCAATTTAAATAATCAATAAAAACTATAACTACTTTTAAATTTTTAGCAATTGGGAAAATCAGTAGATATTCTGGCGCTTCCAAATTTCTAGACTGAAAGCAAGTTAGGCTTCCTTCTACAGTACTTATTTTTTTACTTTTTTCTAAACTGTCGCTATTGCTTTGAATTTGTTTTAGTAATGAGTTGAAGTGCATGAAAGAACTCGTGTTTTGAGAATTTAAGTTAAATCCCATTGAAGTGCAAATGTCATAATTATTCAATGTCTTAAAGGATAAGTTTTTTTTCGCTTTTCTTTTAAACAATTGTTTACGTAACTCGAATAGTTCTGAGAAGATTTCTCCTTTTTGCAGTTTTTCATTTATATATTTTACAAGAGTGCAATTGGTGCAGCTTGATTGCAGTGGCATTAAAATATTTTCAAAGAAAGGAAACTCTTTCTTTGCATTAACAAAATCAAAGGAAATGTCTGAATTGTCATTTAATAGCTGCTTTTGGAAATATATGGTCAAAAAATAGAGTTGAAATTTTAATGGATAGATAAAATAATATATGTTGTTGGCTTGGAATAGAAAGATATTTCTCAATATAGTTTGATGTAACTGATTGTGATGAGGCCAGTGCCTGATATTTTCATCATTTAAAATTCTTTTGCTGTCACTAAAATTTCTAACTCTGTTTACACCAATACTCAATTTATCTGCTATAATTATTACCAATGGCTTGTACTGTTTTTTGAAAAACAGAGAATCAATTACTGATAAATTATCGTAAAGCGAACAGATATTATCTTCAAACCTTAGTGGCTTGATATTCGTTTCTTCTACCTGCAAAATATTCATTCTGAGAAACATTCTCAAAATTTTAAAATGTATCCTTAGAGTAAAAATATCAACGCATTTTTTATATACTTTTTTTATAATATGCAACGTTAAGGAGTCATTTCTTCTAAAAAACATTTTCTAAAATTTCCTTTTTCTAAAAAAATGCATTTCTAAAAAAATTGCATTTAATGTTCTAGAAACTACTAATTTCTAAAATAAGACACGTATTAAATAAGTTGTACATTTCGTTATCATTCAGCTTTTACATTATGATAAACAAATTTCATTATGTGAAAGAAAAATTTCAAAGATAAAATCATATTATGAGGAATCATATTATTAGCTTAATTTATTCTATGAAAAAATGTAGATTTTGTAAAAAAGGATTCCCTACCGATTTTCCTAATCGTACATTCCTAATTTCAACGTTTCCTAAAAACGAATTTCCTAAATTTGAAATTTCAAAAAGAATTTTCCTAAGCGAAAATTCCTAAAGTTATTAAATTTTCCTAATTTACTAAAAACTTTATTTTAAAAATGAAGTGGAAATAATTTTCAATTAATTACTAAAATTTAGAGAACAATTGTATGTGGAAATAATTTAAAATTAATTACCATCCACAAACAATTGTTTGCCCACAATTCGAGGACCAATCTCCATTGTTTTTATTTAAAATATAAATTTTTTTAATTTATTTATAAATTACACTTTTAATTTAGACTCGAAATATTAATTTACAATCAAAATTTTGGAACTTTTGACATTTATATTTGTTGCTATTGAAAAAAGAATTGCAGATCGCATATCGCATCGTCATAAAAAATATATATTAGGAAAAATGATATTGTTCGGAAAAAAAGACTTTAGGAAAAATGAGTTCGGAAGAATGATTTAGGAAAATAGTTTTACGAAAAATTAACTATTTGGAAAAGTAGTTGTTAGGAAAATACGTTTAGGAATCTAAGATTAGGAAATTCGTCGGGGAATATTTTATTGAAAAATTTAAAAAAAACAAAATTTCTTCTTAAACTTACATTGTTTTCTCCAGAAATTGAAATTTGACCAGCCATCAGTAAAAGAATCAAAGTAGGCGCTATTAAAAATGTACTTTGAGAATGCATTTTTGGTTTTCTTGTGAATATACTTTCTTTCAACACTTGCACTGATATAACATTGAAATAGAAAAATATATGCTAATGTACAAAAAAATCATAAAATTTAATCAATTTTTTTTAACAACTTTAACATTCTGACATTTTTACATTCAATCTCTAAAACTGGTTTTGCGCATTGCAAAAATTGACGATTTATTAAATTACAAAGAAAATTCTATTTTCTTTTAAAATTAAATAAATTTTGTTTGTCAAATATTTGTTAAAATTCTCAAATTGACCAAATCTTTGAAAATTTTAATTTTAAAACTGTAGGTAATAATATTTTAATTTTTATTTAAAAAAGAAACTACTTTTTTAAAATTAATTATCGAGTGCAAAGTTAGTTATCAATGAATCCTAATCAATGGAAAATAAAAAAAGCAAAAGAAATCAAAAATAGAAACAATAATTTTAGTACTATTGATAAAAAAACAGTAGCAGTGGTACAGTTATATTGCTACAATTTAAAAAAAAATTATAGTAATTGTAACTTGATGTGGTATCAGTTGGAGAACAAGGAGATTTTCCACTAGACGAAGCTACTCGATCATTAAAAGCAGAAACTCTCGCAGTTGGACAATGAGAACAATAACATGTTTCGCTGCACATTTGGTAATTTTTATCCTATTCACCGAAGAGATCATAGGCGAAAGGTTGTGCTATAAACACAAAACAAAGTAAAAGGCGCGAATCAGATGCAATCGCTTCCTCATTGCTCGAGAACTACATAGGTATAACTACAGTTAACTGCACTCTGGAGTTCAAGGTTATGAGCTTCTGATTTTATCCGACTAAATTTGCAAAAAAAGGGTCACATTAAATTATTCCTTTCCCAACTCATAAGGCGTAAATTTAATTCTTTTTTTTAATAAAAAAGTAGCAAGTTTCTTGTTTTATTATCAAATTTTTTTTTATAATAATAAAATACGAATTGGATTATATAGTTTTAAAATTATTATAATTATAACAATCATATATTCTGACATAGGGAATTCAGGAAAAAATCAAGAATTTTTATTAAAAGTACTAAAAAAAATTAATTTTTTAGAATTCATAAGAAAATTCTGAATTATTGTGTCTTTTTTGTTTGACTCATAAACTCTAAATAAGTTACCACGAATTCTAATACAAAACCTTCAATTTTGTTCAACTTCTGACAAAAATTTCTTTTTAAATAACTTAAATCTTGAACAACTATCATAAAATAAATAAATCATTTAATGAATAATTTTACTTAAATATTTCAAAATTATTTCAATTTTAAAAAAGTTGCCTTTACAATTTTCATAAATAAATCAATTTCAAACGGTTTTACTTTAAACTTTTATAAACTTTCAATGTTGAATGAATTTAATAAGAAATTTCAATGAACTTAGATTTTTGAAAAAATTTAATAATTCACAATCTTTTAAAATTAATTAAATATTTTAATATATATTTTATTGATTATTAAAAATAATAAATTTATAAAAAAAATTTTAATTAAAAACGCTCAAATAATTGAATTTTGAAGAAGTTAGAAATGATTGCAGAAATTCAAATATTTTCAAAACTAATAAAATTCTTATCACAATATTCAATTATGATCGAAATTTACAAAAAAAATCCCAATTATTATCTTTATAAATAAAAAAATTCTTCAAAATTCAATTATTTTCAAACATTTTAATAAAATTTTTGTCAAAATTTCAATTATTTAAAAAAAATTTCCTCATTTCAATGATTTTTAATATATAGTATTTTAATAAAATTAACCAAAAGAATTCAATTATTTAGAAATAATTTTAATAAAATTGTACGCAAATATTTAATTATTTTCATAAATAATACAAATTTCACAGGAATTCAAATATTTACAAATTTTTTTTATAAATTTCTTCGCGATAATTCAATTATTTTTAACAATAATAAAATTCTTTTTAGAAATTCAATGATTTTTAAAAATAATAATAAAAATTTCTACAGCAATACAATTTTTTATTTGAATTTTTCGAAAAATGCAATTATTCTTAAAATTTTATTATAATTTGTGAAAACAATTGAATTATTACAATTTTTTTTTATAAAATTCTTTGTAGTAATTAAATTATTCTTATAAACATTAAAATTCTTTTCGGAAATAATAAAACTTTTCTCAGAATGTCAATTATTTTTTATACAATTGAATTTCTTGAAAAATGCAATTATTCTGAAAAATTTTATTAAAATTCGTCGAATCAATTCAATTATTTAGAAAAATTTTATAAAATTCTTCGCAATAATTCAATTATTTTCATAAATATTAAAATTCTTTTCAGAGATTTAATTATATTTTTATAAATAATAAAACTTTTTTTTAGGAATTCAATTATTTTCAAAAGTAATAAAATTTTTCGAAGAAATTCAATTATTTCTAAAAATTTTAACAGTTATTTCGTCAAGAATTCAATTATCTTTATAAATAACAAAATTTTTAGCCAAAAATTCAATTATTTTCAAAAATTTTAATAAAATTCTTTGCAAAATTTCAATTATTTTCTATTTCAACTATTTTCATCAAATTTATCAAATAATTTAATTATTGAAAAAAATGTTTGATATACAATTTTACGAAAATATTCAATTATTTTTCATATAATTATTTCTATCGTTTACTGTTTTTTTTTCATTTTATTATTTAATTTCTATTTCGTTTAATTGAATGCATTCAAAATTTACATAGATCATAAATTTTTCTCAATTAAAAAAAAAAAAATTCCAAATTGCCCCAAAAGTTATTTTTAAGGGACATAGAAATTATTTTTTTTTCCATTGAAAACCGTATTTTATGCAAATTTTCCAAAATGCATAAATTATGAAATAATTCTTATATAATCGTAATTTTTAAACAATAACAAGAAAATAATTTTCCTGTGAAAAAATATTTAAAATTTTTTCCACGAGAAATAAGTATGTAGAAATTATTTTCTACTTTGAAAAGTGAAAAACAGTTTAATTTTTATTGTATATTGAAAATAATGACTTGAGGTGTTAGTTTCCTTTTTCTCTCAAAAATTTTTATAGAAGAAAAATAAAATAAATATTTTTTATATACGGCAATTTTTTTTTAAAAAAAACAGTGAGCGGAATTTCTTGAAAACAAATACGATTGGAATTATATTGGAATGTGGAAGTAGTGACTATTGAGTAAAAGTAATTTTTCAAAGTAAAAAAGAAATATATATATTTATTCTGCTTTATACTTGATAAACGTTTTGATCAAGTGCACACATGGAGACCAGTTACACCGAGGTAACAATGGTATATGTATATATATATATATAGATATATATTGTTAGGGACAGAGAGTTGGGTGTAACTTTTATGTAACCCAGAGTCTTGATAGAAAGGAAAATCATTTTACAATAATCATTCGTCAAGTCAACCATTCTCCATTATGCCAGCAGCATTCTCCCTTGTTTCATGTGGAGCGAAAGAATGAACAGGTCGTGGGTGTGTTCCCGGGAACAATGTGACTTTATGCTAAATAACCGGACGCTATAATTTTTTTTCTCTTAACTCAACGACGATAGTAACGGTCCTTCTTTACCAAATAAAACATGTAACATTTTTCTGAATTTTTTTTTTTCTCTTTTTGGAAAAAAAATTTTAATTCTGAATACACTGCGTGAAAAGTAAATTTATTTGCATTAAATAATAGGAATGTAAATAATATAAAAAATATAAATATATATAAACAAATTATATATTTATATACATATGTATATACCTATATATAATAAACTAAATCATTTTTATTTACAGTGATGCCAGTAGATGATTAAAACGACAAATCTTCAAACTTTTCTTATTTATCTTCAGAAATCTTTAAACTAATCAAACAAAATTTCTTCTGATTTAGGTTATAATTTTTTCTAAAATATGATAAATGAAACAATTTTAAAGAAATAAATTAATATTGTTGTGTTTGAATCTGTACGATTCACAAGTTTATGAACATTCAAATGATAACGAAATACTTTTTATTAAAAATATTTTCATAAATTACTGATTGCAATAAAAATTATAAACAAATTTTATATTTAGAATCTTTAAAATTAATTTTATTCATAGTGACACAAAATATTATAATAAAAATTTAATTTGAAGAAGAAAATAAATTTCCTTCATTTGAACGTTCAGAACTTTAGGATCATGAATCTGTTCGCAGTTTAAAGTTAGTTTTTGTTTGTTCCTCAACTTCTTTTAATAAATTTTATCTTTTAATATTTTGAATTTTAAAAATTAATGCATTGAAAATTCATAAATTCTTGCAAAGTATTTATCAAAAAATTTGAAAATAATTAGTCATTTGATAAATTTTATTAAATTTTTTCAAATAATTGAATTCTTTCGAGAAAATTTAATTAAAATTGTATTGAATATTTATATTATCTAAAATTTTAACCAAAATTAATTTTTAAATCAATTTGAATGTTTTTCAAAATTTAATTTTTAGAAAGAATTTTACAACAATTCTTGAAAATAATTGAAAACTTTTTGAAGAATTTTATTGAAATTTTGAAAAATAATTCAATTCCTGAGAAAAATTTAAATAATAATTCATGAAAATAATTGAATTCATGCGAAGAATTTTATTAAATTTTGTTTAAAAAGAATTGAAATTTTGACAAGACTTTTATTAAAATTTTTAACAATAATTGAAAACTTTTTGAAGAATTTTATTAAAATTTTTAAAAATAATTTAATTCTTGAGAAGAATTTGAATAATAATTTATGAAAATAATTGAATTCATGCAAAGAATTTTATTAAATATTATTTAAATAATTGAAATTTTGACAAGAATTTATTACTTTTCAAAAGAATTGAATTCTTGTCATAAATTTAGATATTTATCAAAATAATTGAATTTTGGAAACGAGATTTATTAAAATTCCTTAAAATAATTGATTTTATAGAAAGAATTTTGTTGTTTATTAAAATAATTGAATTCTTTTGCAGAATTACTGAAAAAATTTTGAAAATAATT